TCTCATTGTTGATTGTGTCGGACCAATTCCTCGTTCGAAGTCGGGAAGCAATTATTTGTTTACCGTGATGTGTTTGAACACGCGTTTTCCGGCAGCATATCCATTACGTAGTATTACATCGCGTTCTATTGTGAGAGCGTTAACTCAATTTATATCTGTCTTTGGAATTCCAAAAACCATCCAAAGTGACCAAGCTTCAAACCTGACTTATCTTTTTCAGCAGGTTCTGAAACCGCTGCACATTAAGCATAATCAATCTACTGCATACCACGCACAAAGTCAGGGTGCGTTGGAGAGATTTCATCAGTCCTTAAAATCGCTGCTTCGAGCATATTGTGTGCAGTTAGATAGAGATTGGGAAGAGGGCTTACCCTGGATGATGTTAGCCGCTCGCGAAGTAGTACAGGAAAGTACGGGTTTTAGTCCTAATGATTTAGTCTTTGGGCATAAAGTTAGTGGTCTATTGTCTGTTTTTCAAAAGGCTGGTAAAGTTGCGGAGCCTCCGAAAAATTTGGCATCATATGTTTTGGGTTTCAAGAACCGACTCATTCAGGCAACTCGCAAAAGTAAACCTTGAAAAACACCAACAAAATATGAAGCGATTGTATGACCGTACAGTCGAACATCGAGTGTTTGAACCAGGAGATCAAGTTCTGGTACTCCGGCCAACAGTATCTTCTCCTTTCGAAGCCAAATTTGATGGCCCGTTTGTTGTGCAAAGCAAGTTGAGTGATGAAAATTATGATGTTATAACTTCATCACGGAAAAAGTCAGTTAAACGGTACCATGTAAATTTATTAAAACCATACTATGAAAATGAGACCAAATCTGTAACGAATCGGACATCTGTGCATTCAGTACTTTCTTCAGTACCTGTTAGTGGGGGTAAGGTGAGTTTAGTGGGGGAGGAAGAGGAGACCATTTCACCTAATGATTGTGTGTTTCGCGGTCGCTTAAATTCTGAATCCTTGAAGAACTTGGAACTTATTTTTCGTTATTTGTCTCATGAAAGATGTCAGGAGTTATGTCAGTTGTTACGTAGATTTCCTGAATTGTTTGGACATTCGCCTTCGCGTTGTGATTGGGTGCATCATGATATAGATGTGGGGGACGCAAAGCCTATCAAACAGCGTTTTTACCGTGTTGCACCTGAGAAACGGGAATTAATGGAGAAGGAATTGGGCTTCTCCGTGTTTATTAGTGGGAAAGTCAGATGGTACAATTAGATTATGTACAGATTTTCGCAAAGTCAACAGCTTAACTAAACCAGACTGTTTCCCTCTGCCCCGCATTGATGATTGCGTTGATCAGGTTGGGTCAGCCGAGTTCGTCAACAAGTTTGACTTGCTGAAGGGCTATTGGCAAGTGCCTTTAACAAAGAGAGCACAAGAAATATCGTCTTTTGTTACACCATCCGGGCTATTCTCTTATCAGGTTATGAGTTTCGGTCTTCGAAATGCTCCGGCTACCTTTCAACGCCTCATGAACCGAGTAATTTCGGGTCTTGAGGGTTGTGCTGTCTACTTGGATGATTTGGTCGTTTTTAGTGACAGTTGGGAATCTCATTTGAAGCGTCTTCGTGTAGTGTTGCAACGTTTATCTGATGCTAGGCTTACAGTGAACTTAGCAAAATGTGAGTTCGCTAAAGCAACCGTGACGTACCTCGGTAAGGTGGTGGGGAATGGTAAAGTGTGTCCGGTGCAGGCGAAGGTACAGGCCATCCAGGCCTTTCCCCCTCCGATGACAAAAAAAAGAGCTTATGCGGTTTTTAGGATTGGTAGGATACTACCGATCTTTTTGTTGTAATTTCTCCACCGTAGTGGCACCTCTTACGGATTTATTAAAGAGTAAGACAAAGTTTGTCTGGTCTTCTAGTTGTCAACTGGCTTTTGAAAATGTTAAGTCCTTGCTGTGTTCAGCACCTGTGCTTCTGGCACCTTGTTTCGATAAAACGTTCACGTTGCATGTTGATGCCAGTAACGTGGGAGCTGGGGCTGTTCTTCAGCAGTCCGAAGCAGAAGGAGTCAATCATCCAGTCAGTTTCTTTTCGAGGAAGTTTAATTCTTATCAGCGACACTACTCCGTAGTCGAGAAAGAAGCATTAGCCCTTATTTGGGCATTGCAGCACTTTGCTGTTTATCTTAATTCCAGTGCACCAATTGTGATATACAGATGATAATCCTCTGACCTTTTTGAATTCTCTGCAGTGTCCGAATCAAAGGTTGATCCGGTGGTCCCTGTTTTTGCAGTCTTTCTGCTTGGATATTCCGCACGTTCGAGGATCGGAATATGTGGTAGCGGATGCGCTATCGCGCATTCCAAGTACATGATGTAGCTCTTGGATTTATTTTTGGTGTCAACCCCCCCCCAGTGTTTTGTGAGTTGTCTTTTGTGTTGGTTTTGTGTATAATATTTGATTTTGTATTTTACTATGTTTGTTACAGGGATCTTTGTGGGAGTTCCTGTCTTATGGGGAGGGGTGTGACGGCTCCCGTTGGAATTTGGGTGATTTGTAGCTCCGCCTACGACTCACCTCAATCTGCAGTCCATTGCCTACACCTGCCGCTGTGGTTCAGACGCTCCTTTAAAAACTGATATTAGTAGAGACAAAGGAGTCTTGGACTTGGGATATTGGGTTGTGTTTGGTTTGATTTGTATTGGTTTGAGCACTTTTACATGGCTACAACAGCACATTACACCAGCAGTCAGGCACCCCGCTTTACACACTGATGATGCTGACGTTTTCAGAACTATTATCTTTTCTGTTGTGTTTTGTTCTATTATAGTGATTTACTTTTGAGCTTAATAAAGCCTTTTTCTATTGAGCCATATGATTTCGTGTGTCCCTCCTTTTGTTGCTTCCCTTCGAGCCAGGGGTTGTCACAGTGAGTGAGTGTGTGTGTGTGTGAGTGTGTGTGAGTGTGTGTGAGTGTGTGTGAGTGTGTGTGAGTGTGTGTGAGTGTGTGTGAGTGTGTGTGAGTGTGTGTGAGTGTGTGTGAGTGTGTGTGAGTGTGTGTGAGTGTGTGTGAGTGTGTGTGAGTGTGTGTGAGTGTGTGTGAGTGTGTGTGAGTGTGTGTGAGTGTGTGTGAGTGTGTGTGAGTGTGTGTGAGTGTGTGTGAGTGTGTGTGAGTGTGTGTGAGTGTGTGTGAGTGTGTGTGAGTGTGAGTGAGTGTGTGTGTGTCTCTGTCTGTGTGTGTGTGTGTCTGTCTGTGTGTGAGTGTTTGTGATTGTTAGTGTGTGTGTTACTCACATCGGTGTGTTTGGTCATGGGGTTGAGCTTCAGGAACAGCGGACTCTCGATGATCTCACACACCTACAAAAAACACACACACAGCTTCAGTACGACACAACACACGGATAGGAGGCGTTTATCCTCAGCTCCACCCACCTGCTTATGAATGTGGATATCTGATTGGTCCGGAGCGCCGCCAGTCGTGTACCAGCCTAGAAACTCCATGTCCTTAAAAACCTGCTTGACTGACGGAGGAAAACCAGCGTCACACACACACACACACACACGTTAGGAATCAC